TTATTTGGTTCTTCTTTATTCTCAATAGAAGCAATTTCATTAAATTTAACAAATTTCAAGGAATCAACAAAAATTGCAAAATTATCATCACTAGGAGATTTCATGGTATTATAAATACTAAAAGTCACAGGTTTACCATTAGACTCCATAGTAAGCATACCACTATGAATATCGATTTTAGTTTTTGCAGTTTTTAAGAATGGTCTTCCTAACAAAATATGAGAAATTTTATTACTATTTTCCATATCAAGCACATAAAAATCAGCAGGAAAAACCAAGTTATTAACTTCAACAAGCAAATCTTCAATCACACCCCTAGGATATGTAGTAGATCCATCAGCCAATTTAATTATTATACTAGATTTATTCAGGGGTCCAAGATTTAAAGAAGTATAAACAGAATATGGCATGACATTAATAGAAGCTCCTAAATCTAACATAGCATTTTCAAATTTCACCCCACTTATCATGCATGGAATAGTAAACATACCGGGGTCTTTGCACTTTTCAGGAAGATTGCTTTGACTAGCCATAGAGACATTCTCTTGCACTTTCACTTCCTCAATTCTTTCATCATTTCGTTTCTTTTTCATAGTGCGTACCGCTTTTAGAAAATTTGCATAGCGAGGTACTTTTTTCATAGAATCTAAAAATGGTTTATTAGCCTCACATTCACGAAAGGTCTCATACAGATCATTATTTGAGTTTCCTCTTATTGGTACTAAAAGAGCTTGAGGAAATGGGGGTACTGGTTCATAATCAGAAAAAGAAGAAAGCTTACCTTGGGACTTCTCTTTATTGTTGGCAATGATTCCTGCACTTATTTCCTTGTCTAAATCAACATTCTTTTCCAGCGACATACTTTCAACACTAATTGCACTTACATTCTCTTTTGGATTAACCACCGTTTGAGAGGGTAGTTTGGCGGAACTCTGTGCTTCCAACCGACTTACCGTAGTTGCTAGTTGACCCATCTGTCTTTCCAAATTTTGAATACTAGCCTTTGTTTCTTGTTGGAATATTTGTGTTTCTTGTTGAAACTGCAGAGTGTTAGTAGCAAGAGATTTAACAATATCTTCTAGATTCATACCTGAGCTAGAGCTTTGGACCGGCTGTTGTCTTGCAGGAAATGGTTGTCTATACTGCTGAAAATTGGAACGATTCTGAACAAACTAGTTCCCTTGTGAGTTCCCATAGCTAAGGTTTGGGTGCTCCCTCCATCCAGGATTATATGTATTGGAAAACGGATCATACTTACCTTGAGGTTGTCCAGGAAAACCTCCAGCCATGTTGACTTGTTCAATAGGTTCTTCTTGAAGAGTTGGGCAGGCATCAGTATGGTGCCCAACTACCGAGCAAATTCCACATGCTCTTACGGTTTGCATATTGCCTACTGCTAATTGACAAACAAGAGTAGCTAAACCAGAAATTTGTTGTTCAAGAGCAGAAATATTTACCTCATTCACTTGCTTAGACGGTTGGGCAAGTCTATTGCCGAACTGTTGAGAATTTGCAGCCATGTTTGCAATTAAATTTCTTGCAGCGTCTGGTGTTTTGTCAACTAAAGCACCACCACTTGCAGCATCAATCATGCTTCTATCCATCGGAAAAAGTCCTTCATAAAAGTATTGAATGATTAATTGATCACTAATTTGATGGTGTGGGCAGCTTGCACATAGTTTCTTGAAACGCTCCCAATATTCATACAGGGACTCTCCATTGTTTTGCCTTATACCACAGATTTCTTTCCTAATGTTGGCCGCCCTTGAAGCTGGGAAATATATTTCAAGGAATGATGTCTTTAAGTTATTCCATGTGGTGATGCTCCCAGAAGGTAGATAGTATAACCAATCCTTCGCTGAATCTTTCAAAGAAAAGGGAAAGGCTCTTAACTTGATTTGTTCTTCAGTAACCCCAGTGGGTTTCATACTTGAACACACCACATGGAATTCCTTTAAGTGCTTGTGAGGATCTTCACCTGCAAGTCCATGAAAAGAAGGCAAAAGATGAATTAATCCAGATTTTAGTTCAAATTGTATATTAGCATCCAGAGCGGGAAAAGTAATGCATAAAGGTTGCTGATCCAAATTTGGAGCTCCAAGCTCTTTTAAAGTCCGATTTTGAGCCATGGGTTCCTCTTCTAAATCAGAATTGGTAGAATCGGTAGAATCGGTAGCCAGATCACTAAACTCCAATTTTCTCAAAGCTTATTTCTTCCACCTGTGTATAGTTCTTTCAATTTCCGGATAGTACGGCAAGAGTTCTTGATTAGTAGATCGAGTTATAGGCATAAACAAAAAGAAAATATATTTTGATTTGCAATTATGTAAAAGTAATGAAAGAAAAGAAAATTATTATTATTTTTTTCGTTTGGGACAAATTGAAAAACAAATAAACAAATAACAAAATAAATAATTAAATAAATAAACAAACACAAAATAAGCTAGAAAATCTCCTCGGCAACGGCGCCAAAATTTGGTGAGCTGTCGTAGGCTCCCAAATTAAAATCTTACAAACATAGTAGCGGGAGTAAGGATCGATCCCACGAGGAGTAACTAGTTTAACTTTTGTGCTCAAGGAAATAATGGGGGGTTTGGAATATATCGAGAATAAATATTAAATAAAAGAGAAATTAAATAAACAAGAAATTTAATCGAACGAATAAACAGTGAAAATAATATATCGAAAACACTTATAATAAGAAACCTTGGTCAGTAAAGATCCACCACCGGAGTTTAACACTGATCATTGATTTATAAAGTAATTAATATGCAGTTGAATATTTGTCGTGAAATTATTTCATTTCCGTTTTCCCTTAGTTGTAGGTAACTAAAGCACACGCGGTTTAATTACCCCTAACTACTAAATAACCTAAGACAAGCGCTATAGATTTAATTTAATAGCAGCAATAGGAACTAGGAAAACCGACAAACTAAATAACACAAGCACAAGCGGTTGCATTTAATTTAGGAAAATATTCTACCCGAGTCCAATTATCACTAAGCTGTCAATAATTAACCCAGTTGCTACTGAATATTAGAGTAATTTGTAGCACAACATTATCTAATATAGCAAATAATTATATCAAATAAATAACTAGTAGGCCTCCCTAGCAATTAAATGACACAATTATTTCAAATAACTTAGAAGAATATTTAATACTCAAATGCATAAAAATATATAATAAAAATAAATAACCTTACAGCGTAATGAACTCCGGGGCTTCAATTCACTAAACCAAACAAGAAATTAGCCGCGAATGGGCATTGATAACAACCTTAAAGAATATTCGAGGAGGGAAGAATGAACATTTTAGAATGAGTTGCCATCATCTATTTATACTACTCTCAAAATATTTTCAACTCATTTTCCACCATTGAATTTCTATTTTTGTGCTAAGGCCTTCCACAATTCTAGCCAATCTTGCCGGTCCAATTTGACTTTGCTTTTTTTTCCGCTACCGCCGTATGCTATGTTCTGTAGGAAAGCAAACAAAACAATATATTTATTTCATTTATTTCTAGGTTTATAATATATATATATACTAGAAGTCTAGTACAGTAGTAATATATATATATATATATATATATATATATATATATATATATGCTATGTATTCTATATTTATTTATTAAATATATTATATATAATATATTATATATATATTTAGTATATAGCACGTAGTACGTATTCTTATATATTATATATTATATATATTATATATTATATATTATATAAGAATAGATTATATATTATATATAAAAAGAACTAATTATTAGATAATATTAAATAATTAATGCAAAATTATTATAAAGATGTACCTAATGTCGTGAATCGATCATATCTCGGCATTCCATTTCAATTTGATCATATCTCCCCCTAATGTCGTGAATCGATCTTCAATGCAGTCAGTGTAAACATTAATTCCCTCTCAAGGGCTCTAAATATTCAGACAACAAACGGAGATGTAGAGATACACTATGGTGGTAATATACTAATATAGTATAATGGACTGCACACTTAAGAATAGAAGCGCATATATATTGGGAAATGTCTTTGATTTGAAACCACGTATTAGATGTAAGGGGGAATAAGGATATGCAATGCAACGGAGTTTTAGAATTAAAGTAGCAGCATGATTACTGCATTTCCCCAACAAGTATCCGACACATTTTATTTTTGGAAAATAATGGTTTAGTAAATAATTTAAATTAGAAATTCAGCTAAACCATTTCAAGTGTAGTTATAAGGTACATGATGAATCATCGTAATGCCTACTGCCATATAACAATCGTCAAAATGTGACGATTTATATTCACCAGCATTATCCATCCTTATTTGTTTAATAAGATAATATGAGAATTGGGCATTTAATTAAATAGCATTGCTCATAAATTCGGCAAGTGTTTTTTCGTAATTGATAACATGCTCACATGTGTCCACAAGGTGGTTCTGTATTTAATATTTAATAAGGTTATTTAATTAGATTTATAACTGTTCATTGGAAAATATTTAATAAGATTTATAACTCCCCATTTGACATTATTTTTCGATAATCATGTCTTGTTAAAAACTCGATAGAAAAACTCTGTAGGAAAAACCTAGTCGGGAAAATAGTACATGATATATGAGTAATTCGCTTGAAGTTTCGGCTGCCTCATTAAAAACCTTAACTTAAGAAAACCGTGTGGGAAAAAACTTAGTTAAGGAAAAAAGAGTACAACCATAGGCCTTCAGGGCATAATCCTCAAGATTTTGGGGTTTGTGTATTTTAGTATTTATTTGCAACTTTCCCCATTGTTATTACTATATCATACTCATGCCTTGTTTAAAGCCACACTAGAAAAACTCAATGGAAAATCTAGAGTACAACTATTAGTCTTTTAAGACCCAATCTTTACGATTGATTAGAGTAAATGTGCTCCCCATCTTTCCATGAAGATAACAACCTTCAATTTCTTACATGGTTTAAAATAAAAAACCTTCATTTCAAATGAAATGGTCTTGTAGCTCAGTTGGTTAGAGCGTTGTTCTTATGAGTCAAAGGTTGCGGGTTCAAGCCTTGTCGGGACCATATTTACTTTCTATCTTAGAAAATGAACTTACAGTGTGACCCACCAGGACCATATACACATGTGCTAGAAAATGAACTTACAGTGTGACCCACCAGGACCATATACACATGTGCTAGAAAATGAACTTACAGTGTGATGGTTCTATTGCATATATATTCCATATGAATAAGATCTCATAGTGCAAATATACAATTAGTGACAATTTTTTTGAGAATTGAAGATAACCAACATCCGGGACTAGTTTGAGAATGCATAGCTCGAGCCAAGGCATGAACCAAATTGTTCACTTATCTAGGTATATTAAAGGACACTACTTCAAAGTGTCGTTTTAAGATAAGGCACTCTCGCATAATACAACTGTTAGTCTTTTAAGACCCAATCTTCACGATTGATTAGTGTAAATGTGCTCCCCATCTTTCCATGAAGATAACAACTTTCAAGTTCTTACATGGTCTAAAACAAAAAACCATCATTTTAAATGAAATGGTCCTGTAGCTCAGTTGGTTGGAGCGTTAGTTTTATGAGCCGAAGGTTGTGAATTCGAGCCTCGCTGGGACCATATTCATCTATGCTTGAACTTATGGTTTTGATGATTCTTTTTATTAAAGAAGTTGCTCAATACAATAGGGAATTTACAAATACAAATTGCATATATATTTTAAACCATATATTCCATATCAATAAGATCTCATAGTGCAAATATACAATTAGTGACAATTTTTTTGAAAACCAAAACGATGACTTTTATTAAAGAAGATGCTCAATACAATAGGGAATTGAAGATAACCAACATCCGGGACCAGTTTGAGAACGCATAGCTCGAGCCAAGGCATGAGCCAAATTGTTCACAGATCTAGGTACATAATTAAAGGACACTACTTCAAAGTGTCATTTTAAGATAAGGCACTCTCGCATAATACAACTGTTAGTCTTTTAAGACCCAATCTTCACGATTGATTAGGGAAAATGTGCTCCCCATCTTTCCATGAAGATAACAACCTTCAAGTTCTTACATGGTCTAAAATAAAAAACCATCATTTCAAATGGAATGGTCCTGTAGCTCAGTTGGTTTGAGTGTTGGTCTTATGAGCTGAAGGTCGCGGTTTTGAGCCTTGTCGGGATTATATTCACCATGATTCTATTGTTAAGTTAAATTTGGAATTTTAAGGAATAACGACTATAAAGACCTATATGCCCCTACAAATTAATAAAAGTAATATAATTGAAAAAAGTAAACAAGGGTAAAATAGGCATTCGATCTCACTTTTTCTTCTCATCTTCCATGGAAAACAAAATCGTTGGTCCAACTAAGGAAATTTTTTTCCTCAAATTTGAGGAATTCATTTTCCAATGGAAAATGAATTCGATGAACGAAACACAAGAAAATAACATTTTCCTCCACTTTAAGGAAAATGTTTTCCATGAACCAAACATCCCCTTATAGTGTGATGGTTACGATCTTTTTTATTAAAGAAGATGCTCAATACAATAGGGAATTTACAAATACATATTGCACATATATTTTAAAGCATATATTCCATATCAATAAGATCTCATAATGAAAATATACAATTAGTGGAATTTTTTTTTTAAAACCAAAACGATGACTTTAATTAAAGAAGATGCTCAATACAGTAGTGAATTGAAGATAACCAACATCCGGGACCAGTTTGAGAATGCATAGCTCGAGCCAAGGCATGAGCCAAATTGTTCACTGATCTAGGTATTTTAAAGGACACTACTTCAAAGTGTCGTTCTAAGATAAGGCACTCTCGCATTATACAACTGTTCGTCTTTTATGACCTAATCTTCACGATTGATTAGTGTAAATGTGTTCCCCATCTTTCCGTGAAGATAACAACCTTTAAGTTCTTATATGGTCTAAAACAAAAAACCATCATTTAAATGAAATGGTCTTGTAGCTTAGTTGGTTAGAGCGTGGCTCTTATGAGTCGAAGGTCGTGAATTCGAGCCTCGTCGGGACCATATTCATCTATGCTTGAACTTACGGTGTGATTGTTTTGATGAACTTCTTTTTTTTTAATGAAGTTTCTCAATACAATAGGGAATTTACAAATACAAATTGCATATATATTTTAAACCATATATTCCATATCAATAAGATCTCAAAGTGCAAATATACAATTAGTGACAATTTTTTTGAAAACCAAAACGATGACTGATGGGGTGAGGACCCCGGCCCAAGGAAGATTGGCCCAAGAGAGGGATCCAAGGTAAAGGACGTGGGCCAGCATCAAAAGAGGCCCGGCGGATGCTTGGGCCAAGTCCAGAAGCCGGCCTAGGCCCAAGCATAGGAGATTCGACTCGGTGCCACTAAGAAGCCCAGTGAGAGCTTGGGCCGGGTCCAGGAGTCGACCAGGGCCCAAGCCCGGAAGGGAACTCGGTTCGGAGAGCGGTTAAGAGAGCAATGAAGAGCTTCATTTAAAAAGACCCAGAGCCATTGGGGGCATTAAAGGCAGGACTCGGTCGACCGGTTACAAATCTGTGAGAGCCGTTGGCCGGCCTGGTAACGGCATCCAACGGCTCGATAATTGTAATTAGCCTTGAAATCGACCATTAACGGCCTTCAAGTCGATAGGAGGGGAGCCTGCTATATAAAGGCTCCTCCACCTGTGTAAAGGGAGACAAGTTCATCCCTAGAGAAAGGAGAGAGACACTTGAAGCCATTACGAACACTTTCATTTCTTTTACAATCTTGTGTGAAAGGTGAATCCACCAACTAAGGTTGTGTTGGACCTCCTTGGGCCCGAAAACCCAAAAACCAACACTGGCGCCGTCTGTGGGGATCGAACTAAGAGTCGTGTAGCTCTCTGAGCAAGGCGAGTCCAGGAAATGACCGAAGAGATTTCAATCGGTAAGCGATCGAGAAAGCTTCCACCATGGCGGGAGACCAAGAAGAATTGAGCAACCTCGGCCGCGGACTGGGGGCTGACTTGAGGGACTAGTTGAACCAGCGAAACACTCAGATCCGGGAGAATGAGACGGCACCACCGGTGAACCGGCAGCCACCTCAGGTACCTCTCACCCCAGAGAAACTCCATGCGATTGGGCGCGTCTTCGCAGAGGCGAGTCGAGAAGTAAGAGAACAATCCGTCTCTCGACCGCCACACCGCGATCCGCAACCATCCCGGAGGCCAGAAGATAGGCAGGAGAATCGGCGGGCTGAAAGTCAGCCAGTACAGTCCGTCCACTCCAGGCTGGGCCCGAATGTTGGACGACAGTCGGCGAGAGAATGACTAGGACGGAGGGAGCCCAACCGTGCGCCGGCGGGCCCACGGGGTCGAGAAGCCGGGCGCGAAAAAGCTCACACCCGGAGAACCAGAGCTAGGGCTTGTCGTACCAAGCAACCTGTCCGCAACAATAGCCAACCGGTCGAATCTGAGGTCGGCGAGAGCACGGAGTCGACAGGAAATCACACCCGTGATAGGGGCCAAGTAGCGCATCTGGTCCAGGAAGTGCGAAATCTGAAAGAACAGGTAGAGGGGAAGATCAAATCCCCCGGTCGAACGTTGTTGACCGCCTTGCCCTTCTCAACCGAGATCATGGCATTCAAGATACCGGGTGACTTTAAGTTCCCGAAGCAAGCCACGTTTGACGGATCTGGGGATCCTCGAGAACACTTGCTAAGCTACCAAGCCAAGATGCAAGTCCTGGGGATCCGAGACCCCGTCATGTGCCGCGCCTTCCTACCCACATTAAAAGGCTCGGCCCAGAGATGGTTAGTGACGCAACCTCCGGGGTCAATCAATAATTTTGAGGAGCTAGCCGATCGCTTCATGAGCCATTACGCGGCCAATATCAAGCCGCAGAAGGATCTAACGCATTTGGGCGACGTCCATCAGGAGGAAGGCGAGTCTCTAAAGACCTATCTGGCTCGCTGGCAGAAAGAAATCCAATCTATCGAGGAGGTTGAGGACCAAACCGCACTCACCTTCTTCATCGAGTCCCTACGGTCCGGGCAGTTATACCGGGACCTGCGGGATAATCGACCGGCCTCCTACGCGGAAGCCATACACATGGCCAATAAAAGGGCCAACACTGAACAGGCCATGAAGCACAAACGATAACGCGAAGTCGGGGGATCTGCCAGCGGAAAGAGGACGCGAGCCGAGATCAAAGAAAGGCGTCTGGAAACGACCCGGCGACCCGATGTTCGACGACCTTATGACAGGCTAGTCACGCACCCCTATCGGCCGGTCCCTGAGCGGCCAGTGCATGAGATACAAGCAGTCGCCCTACCTCCACCACCGCCGATTGACGAACGCGCGGTAAACGACGAAGCAGGTAAGACCTCTAAATACTGCCGTTACCGCAAATCATACACCCACAGCACGGAAGAGTGCTTCTATTTGAAGAAGATCATGGAGGGTATTATCCAGCAAGGGACCCCGCCTCCTAATCAATGGAGGCGAAGGTCAGCGACACGGGAGGACAGGGGTCCCACCGCCGCCGCGGAAAATGGTCAAGGCAAGCAGCCTGCCCCTGAGGAAGACGAGGAACAGTGGCGTCAGAAGTCGGTTATCAACATGATAGTCGGCGGACCGGAAGGTGGGGACTCAGCGAATACTCGAAAGGCCTGGGCTCGACAACTATATGTCGGGACGGTATATGGGCGCGAGGAGAACTCTAAGAAGATATGTCGAGAGCACATCACTTTCACTGATAGAGATTTGCCCACGGGAGAGACGCCGCATCGAGATGCGCTGGTCATTGCGATGGATATCAATGGGGTAGTCATTCGCCGGATCCTGGTTGACACGGGGAGCAGCGTCAACGTGCTATACCTCGAGACCTTCGACAAAATGGGGCAAACCCGAGAACAGCTAAACCCCGTTAAAACACCACTCGCCAGTTTTACGGGGGACTCGGTGGAGGCAGAAAGATCCATCACCCTGTCAGTCGAGATTGGCAGTCATCCCGACGTGTAGAAGCTTAGTATGAAGTTCATCGTGGTAAACCTGGCCTACTCCCACAATGC